GACACAAAAAATCCTTTAGTTACAAATTTCAAATTTCTATATTTCTTTATTTTTTTCAATGACTATGAACATTTTAGTTTTTCGTATTTGGTTATGGTTCCTCACCAGGAATGTCATTTTCAAAGATTAAAATCAACATGAATGTTTGTATATATGTTCATAGTGAAGATTGTTTCAAATTAAGTTACATCTTTTTTGACCCATACTATTAAAACAACTTGTGGTGAAATACCAAATAGAACTCAACAGGCTATAATTTCTTCCTTGACTCTCATAAGTTTATTTTCTATTTGAATTAGTTACTTCAACATTTACAAGATCCATGAGACTAGAATCTTGGAATGAAATTCTATGAACAGACTTCATAGATCAAAAGCATCATGATTTATATTTATCGAATGAAAATAGATGGATGAGTGTTTAAAACCAAGTTTGATCACGATGACCAGATAATAATTATTATGAGCTACTTTCATTAAATGTTTCTTTATGGTCATAATCAAATGTATATATAATACAAATCTTTGAATGATAACTATAGTAAATATTAGTACAGAGGAGTAAAATATAACAGTAATTTTAAAAAGATGATGCATGATAATGACATCAAAGGAACCTAACTGCAATAGACATCGAAAACAAAACTATATATCGTTTAATGAAATTTGGAATAATTAGTTTCTTGATTTGTTCTGAATTTTGCTCGAAGCTACTCGAGGGCCATCTGCGCTAGCCGTCCTTAATTTTGAAGCAATAGACTAAAGGGAAGGCAGCTAGTCAACACCACCCACCGCCAGTTCTTTGGCTACTATTTTGACAAAGAATAGTAAGATTGATCGTAATATTATAACACTCTCACTGCTGAAAGGGTAAGCATATTCGGGAATGCAATTTGAACCCGTGACCTTCAGATTGCGAATCAAGTGCCCTATTCACTGGAATAATAAGAAGCAGGAAATAAGAACTTTAGATATCCATATGGAACTTCGGAGACCTGAAAACAAATTTTAAAGACTCAGTGAAACTACAGACCTGCTTTAGATGAAGGATATATTTCAAAAGCAGTATTTGACGTTATAGTTTTCGAAAGACCTAGTTACTGATTTGTAGTACCAGTTAAGTTCGTAGTGATATCCAGAGGAAATAAGTTCCTTCTGTATTTTGTTTCAGTTGCACTAGGGAATGGAATTTTTAAAAGATCACTCTTGTTAATTACTAGATGATTTCTTTTGAACAAAGGATATCATGGTATTAAAAGATAACTATTTACACCATTTGTGCAATTATGTAATTTCTTTTAGTAACATTTAGCCAAACGACTAGAGTTTAAAACATGCTTAAATTTCCTAAGATCAAAATCTCTGAAATGTACATTTTGATGAAAATTGTTTGAAATAATAAACTATTAAATGAAACATTAACAATTCACAAGTTTATCAACACATATTATTGAAATATTTTCTATGAAAAAAAAAATAGTGAGCCTTATAGTGATTAAGCCAAACTTTTTTTACTGAAGAAAGAAACTTCCAGACTATATACTGTGCAAAATCTGAAGCTTATGCATGAAAGTGGTACCTATATTTTCTGGTAGTCAAATAAAAGAGACAAAGATATGTTTCGAGAAAATACCATAAAAACACTATGAAAAAGTAACGTATAAATGTTATTTTTATAAGCTGGTGAACCCACTAATTGTTTTTTCTTTGTTTTATTTTAGTATTATTCTAAGCACATAAACATAAATAACTGTGCATATTTCCGTAATTCAATGAAATTAGAGTTTTTGAAAAACTGATCACTTATCTTGTGTATCTGGTAACTTATGAATAAAAAATGGATTCCTCTAATTCAATGAAATTAGAGTTTTAAAAAAAACTGAACACTTTTCTGTACCTGATAACTTATGAATAAGTAAATTGATTTTTACAATTCAGTAAAAGTAGTTTTTGAAAAACTAGTCACTTGTCTTCTGTACAATTCGTGACCAGTTTCTAATTACTAAATAGCAAACATTTTCACCACGTGATTTGCCATATTCAGATTGGCCCAGTTCGAGTTACTATATTTTTTATTATAACATGACTGATAATTCAATTGTGTATATAGTTTGCAATAAACATATAAATCTAATTAATTGGCGTAGCCTATGCAAAACGATAACTTTCTCAAAAATTATCGATTTTTATATTAACAATACTATTTGTTCATCAGTGTAGAACATTGTGTTATAAACAAATGAAATAACAGTTTTAATGAACCTCAACTATTAGAGTTACCCCCCCCCTCCGGTGGGTCAGCGATAAACTGGGTTTTGATAGCAAGTTGTGTGCACAGAAAATATAGCCCATTGAGTAGCTTTGTTGTTTAGCTTTGCGCTTAACAACAACAGCAAAGAAACTATAGGAGTGTTTATGATTTGATTTTATTTCGTGGCGTATTCATTATATAATGTAAAATAATAAAAACCCTATAACCCGAGTGCTTTCGAAAGGTGGACCTTTTTTCTTCTTCAGGGGTAAATTGAACATAATTTGAGGAATCATGACCATCAAGAAAGTGGCGTCTTGTAAAAGTCGAGAATATAGCAACACAAAGGTCAGTAGCAAAAATTATGTTTCCTGGCAATATTACACAACATAGTCAAGAAAGAGTTTCATTTGGAAAATCTATACATGACAAGTGTGTACAACTTGGTAACACCAAGTATGAGTTCAACCGTTGCATACCTCAAGCAGCCGGATAATTAAACGGGTATTCATACTGTTTCATATGAAAACATACCAGTGAAGTCATCGGATGTAGAGCCTATGAATTTATGTGTGCTTGGACAATTAAAACGAGTGTTAGCAAATTGTCGTTGTCATACACTTAATGGATTATGGAAATATGTAGGTGGGTTTGGTGTGCATTGAGCATGACAGATTAAATCGCAGAGCCTTTTGCAATGAGACAACCACTCCGTATGGCTAATTTCAAGAAGAACGGTCGTCAGGTAGAGCATAACTGGACATGGCTAGGCTCCAAAATAATTTTAATATTGCGTATTAAACCTCTGTATATTTTCTTGAACACTACAAACCGTGTTTAGCTTTGTGTACTTGTTCACAGCTTCCATCTGGCATAGTTACACGTCTTGTTGTAGTTTATATATCAACAGAAATGGCTCTTTATATAAATCTAGTGAAACCTTATAACAATAATTACCGAGAAGAAACGCAGTTTCTTTTTCTTATTCTTCTTTTTTTTTTTACAAAAAGATAGTTGTAATTTTATTACTGTTATCTTTATATTGTTGTGAGAAATGAATGTTTATGTTCTATTTGTTGTGACAATAGGCAAAACATATTGTGTTAAAAATACTCTCTGTAATCTCTAATCGAAAGAATTGATAAAAAAAAGGAAAACTGTCTATTCTCTAGATTTTTGTAATAGTTGATACTGATCAACAATTAAAAGTTTATTCAATAGGAAAAATAACGAATAGTGTTTGGTATAAATCTTACATTTATAGATTATACAAGCTGTACCTGTATTTATCTTATGTCTAATTAAAAATACCAACTAAGTTTCTTCAGACGAAATAACTTTTAAGTATTCCAATGCGTTGCATTTATTTGCACTATAATTTATTTTCTATGACATTCTTTGGGAAATCATATTACGTAAAAAGAACTTCGTGAAATAGAGCAACCTACATTCATTCAATGTTTTTACATCATTGAAGGTACTTTCTAAGGTAGATTACTTTTAGCATTTTAAACAAAAATCGATTGTGTTCAAGAAGACTATAACCAGAGTTACCTGATCTTCAAGATACAGAACGCCTCTTTGGTGCCTTGCAACATGCTGAATCGATATTTCCGTTAATAGAGAGGTTATTTTAACTGTATCACAGAAGCATTTTCTAGAGTTTCGTGTGATTTAGTTGAACCAAATAAAAGCAGACCCTTTGTACTTAAAGCACGCCAGCTGACTAGATTAAAGCAACTCCTGCTTGATTTTTTGTATTTGTTTTTTGAATTTCGCGCAAAGCTACACGAGGGCTTTCTACGCTAGCCGTCCCTAATTTAGCAGTGTAGGACTAGAGGGAAGGAAGCTAGTCATCACCACCCGCCGCCAACTCTTGGGCTACTCTTTTACCAACGAATAGTGAGATTGACCGTCATATTATAATGCCCCCCACAGCTGAAAGGGTGAGCATGTTTAGTGTGACGGGGATTCCAACCCGCGACCCTCAGATTGCGAGTCGAGTGCCTTAACCACCTGGCCATGCCGGGCTCCTCCTGCTTGATGTTAACAAATATAAAATACCTACACAATTACAACGTCTTACACCAACAACTTTATTTAAATATTTATCTAATGCTAATATAAATTCAAGCTTTATTTAACACCAATTGAGCTTTCATAATAACAACATATTTTACAAAACGGTAAATAATCGATATCTATGAATATAGGATGAATTGCGAGCAAAGCATAATTATAAGATTAATTGAAACCAAAAGAAAATTGGGCCACACCAGAGTTTGAATGAGTCATGATGAAACACGTGTAAATTTACAACTGATGTTTGTAGAAATATTATGGCAGGAACTTTCAGACATTATTGTCTAATATGTTTACATAACGATTGGTTCTGTTGCTAATAAAACAGTCTGTGGGATAATACTTGTAATGTTGACTTGAAACTCGGCCTCTTATTAAATCTATCAATATTTGACGTTTTATTTAATTGAGTTGTTTCATTTGGTCTTTTAATTTTGTTTTGTTATCGCTAGCATCATAACTTTTAGCACATCAATGCATCATTCGGAAATGGGTTATTGAGGGTATGATCAGATTACCTGATCTGCTATCTACGTTCATATCAATACGTTAGGTAAGAGAGCATATTTATAGTATGAGAAAATGACTGATTCAAAATATAAATGATTGTTTAAAGTGTAGTAAAAGATGCTTCATTAATTATGATCTGTTCAAAAATCAACTCTTACCGACTGAAACAAGTATGTATTTACAGCCATCTTTCTGCATTCCGACAGAATTTTCTCCTTTACAGGTAAACGTTCCGAAGTCACTTTCATCTACTGGTGAGAAACGTGCCACACTTTTTAATCCAAATCGAGTGTGTGTGAGAATTTCTCTATCATGTCTGGAATTATTAAATCTCCAAAAAAATGTAACGTCGTCAGGATCAGCGTCCACGAGACATTCAATTCTTACAAGTTCTCCAATCATAGCAGTATAAAACTTCGCACGCCTATGTGTACATACAGGTTTATCTAAAAACGTTATAAAAGAAACAGATCGTAAGTACCTAAGAAACCACAGGTACTAACTCTCTCTTGTTGTATGTTAACGTATCAAGTGAAGTTATAATAGTTATTCACATTAGTTTTTGAATTACACAAATATAATTAAAAACAGTCAAGTTGAATATTCACATTCTTTTAGAGATTTTTATTTTTTTGTTCTTCATTTATTATAAGACGTTGCTGTGGTATCTAAATTTAAGGTCTGTGACACGGTAAACATGTACAATCACAATAAGATGGTATGCTGGGAAATATTCAGATCACAAGATGGTGTTATTAAAAACATTTAAACATTGGACAACTTTATTCTGGGTGTTTTGATTTTTGAAATTATTTTACTCGCGTCCATCATAGTAAAGTTTTATTATTCAGATCTTCACGAACGGTTGATTAATGCTTTATGTTTTGAACACATGGAAGTAATAAAAAATATGAATAATTCAGCTCACATTTAATCTTCAGTTCAATATCGTCACTATTTCCTTGGCCTTCTGAATTTCTAGCCGAACAGCTATAAAAGCCTCTTTGTTTTCGACCAACTTTTTTCAGTGTAAGAGAATGATTACTAATGATTATTCCATCTTTAGAGTTGCTCTTCAGCTTGTTTCCTTGGAAGTTCCACGTTATCTCACTGATTACAGGATTTGCTTTCACGATGCAATCAAGATATGCATCGTCATCCTCGTGCACAGCTTGAAACGTACGACCGCCTTGAAGAAACACAGAAACTTGTGGTTTATCTGGAAATAAAAAATAAATACGGTTGCAGGACGGTTCATGTTATCTATCTTTCTTTTCACTCACTAAGTGTCTCAATAACAATATATATATATATATATATATATATGTACAATAACTTTAAAAATGTTTACGATAACTTTTTATGATTTTGTCAGATCGAAAATAGAAAAGGAAACTGGACGTTATAAAGACAAGTTCTTTATAGTGATAAAAATTAAACAAGGTATGAAACAATAAAAACAGCATGCACCTTCACATTCAAAAACTACAGGATACTTTAATTTGAAATATTGATATTTTCGAAAATAGTGATTTACTCACAATACACTTTTAACGTGATAACATCTTCTAGGCCGCTATTGTCTATTATTGGATTAATAACTCGACAGGTTAAATTCTTTCCGTGGTCAGAGCCAGTAAAGTTTATCTCTAGTGTGCCAACACTTATATTAGACTGGTGAGTAAGAGTGGTATGGTTATTATCTAAAAGAACATAATCTTTCCACCAAGATATATGGGGCTCTGGCCTCGATCCTGTAGTCCTGCATTCAAAAATGTATTTTTGTCCAGCCTTGTAGTGAATCTCAGATGAAATAAGTCGTACGTCTAACGGCTTCACTGGGCAGAAAGAAAATCCTGCTTATTACTGTTCCAATAAAATAAGATTTCTAATCAATTATAATTCAAAATCTTAAGTTTGTAAAAGAAGATTTACTTAATGTATTAAGACTCTGAACAATATAATTTAATGCTGAAATGTTTTTTTAATATAATATGTGTCTTAGTGTTTTGTATCAACTAGCTTCTTTTATACAAGCACTAGTTAGATCTTGGCTTCTGTTCGGTCCAGTTTATTTAAAATTTTGTTATAGCCAATAATTAGTACACTTCTTTTTATAGAATAAAACTTGTTTAAAGGACTACTGAAGCCAGGGCATAATCAGATCACTTGAACAATAAGCAACCTTTTATTTACTGAAAAAAAAGATTAAATACAGTATTCGTGATAATAATATCTAACGCAATTATATTTTTATGGTCAAAGCGATTATTTATTACATTTATGCTTAAATGAACATCTATTATGCAATGACATTTTCCAAACAACATTTATTTTTCCTAGCCAGCAAAGGAATAAAATACTGAATCACATTTTATGCTGAAAAATCATTCAAATACAAGAAATCGGATGATAGTCAAAATGTAAGTGCAAATCATATTATAAGCATATTTCTCTTTATTCCTTGATATCTGATAGAAACGTTAACTCCATATACTTAGTTTGAAAAACAACTAATAAATAAAGTTTTATTTTCACATGTTCTCCTTTTTATTGTTTATTAGTTTTGTTTAGGAAATCTTATTTAATCTTATCTTTAATACGATATATAACTTACATTTTCGGTTAGTCTCACAGGAGATTATAATTTTAACTATGTTTTTCAGGCATTTGGCTATTTGTTCAAAGTTAATAAAAAGTAGGAAATATTATCCCACGCTAATAACCTGCTAGATCGTTCAGGCTGAAAATAAATATTCATCTTGCAGACCTGTTTGAGAGGACTGTTCTTTTCCGGTAATTGAGAAAATGAAGCAATTATTTAAATTCGTGCCACATTAAACAAAATAACACCAAACAATATTAGGCTTAAATGGAAAGATATTTACCAAGAGTTTACCGATTAAGTTACTTAAAGTATAAAAAAACAAATATATTGTTTATTGTTAAACGCATAGTTACACAACGGTCTATCTATAAAGTTATCTGTGCTTGTTAATCGTTCCAGATTCTAGCGTTATAAGCTTTGTAGCTTTTCGTTCAGCTACGAGAGACAACGCTCAAGTATACAGCATTATATAGACAGAATACGCACTCAGACGTGTTTTAATGTAAGCTACGGTAACTGAAATTACATAGATTGCAAATGATCGTTTATTGCAGGTTTATTAGGTGCTCAATTCAAAAAGAAACTCGCCTTACAAATTCAATGTCTCTTTTTCAAAGTTGTCAACTATATCAAATCGTCGGAACAAATTATGTAACTTGAAGCTTATACAAGTTATTAATTACAATAACCCAATGATATATTGTAATAAAACATACACTGTATGAAATATATGAAAAAACAACAGAGATTGTTGGGAAAATACAATTGCTTAACTCTCTAGATAACGTTTTTTTTTCACTATATCTATAACATCTTTTTATTAAAAGATAAAATCCAAAATACATTTATTGTGAATTAATGAGGAACAACGTAGTCTTTCCCTTCGCTAAATTTTCGTTAATAATCATCATCAAAGTAAAGAGCATTCCATGAAAAATTATTATAACTGGGATTTTTAAAAGTTTTAGTTTTTTGAAACCATTTCTGTAAATATATTTCCAATCTTTTGAGTGATATTTTTAAGAGTTTTGAATTTTCTATTTTAATGTGCTGACCAAATACACAAAAGTAATGACTAGAGAGTTTTTACTATTTAGATTTTTCTCTACAGTGGTTAATAAATTCATTATAAGAACGCTAAATTTTAAAATCGTCATTTTATGTTTATTTTTACAGCACACTTAAAATCATATCTTGTTATAATTATACAAGTTTGTTTCTTTGTTTCGCCTAATGCTTTTTTGGTGCTCTTATTGAATAGTGGAATTTAGCTGTCTCTCTTATAATTCATTCAATGCTTCAAAAATGGAAAGAGCGATAGTGTGGTAATGGGACGCGAACCACGGACACTGTAACTCACATACGGGCACGCTAACTAATAGGATCAAATTATAGCTGAGAGCATGTAAATTATGTACATTTATGCATGACTCTTAGTAATTATACAACAAGTTTACAAACAATTTGGTCTCCACATCAATATCATCACCACTTTGAACCGTTTCAATACCTATTAAGCTCCTAAATCTTGAAAAATTTACCTGGAAAACAAATTAAGAATTAAGTATTAGGATAAAATACTAATATATATATTTTATTATAAATAAGTAGAATTATTCCTTATAAGGCTATATGTGATGTGACCACCAGAGGTATCGAACTGAACATCTTAGCGTTATAAAGCTTCAAGCCTATACGTGAGCTCGCAAGTGACATTTTAATTCATAGAAAGGCGTTTTACGTAAATTAGTTGTTATTTTTATTTTTAGCGCAAAGCTAAACAAAATATTATTTGCGCTTTGTCCACCGCGAGAAATCAAGCCCCGGATTTTAGCCTTGTAAGTTCGTAAACTTACCATTGACTCATTGGGGGACTGATAAATTTGTTCTGAAATATGAAAAATATTATCAGTTTTATTGTAACGTATTATAACGATTCTTAATCTTAGTCTTTAATTTTGGTCAGTTTTATTATTTTTCATTTCTAGGTAATCCCATTTAAAGTAGGAGGGATATTGAATTATGTAATACATTTTAATGATGTTAATTTGAAAAATCGAAACACCCACACATATATATTTGCATCATAGCGTTGTATAAGATAGTGCTTACACGATTATGTTGTTAAATGCGTCATTTGAAACATCCAGTACAACTCGAAACCAAAACCAATTATCAACTATTTTTCTTGTTGAGAGTTCATTTAACATCCTCACGTATCGCTACAAGAACTATTAAGTTAATAAATCTTACCGTTGTACAATAATCATTAAAAATCAAAACGAAAAAGGCAATAACGTATACGAATCTAAACTTTCCTATTATTGTTTGATGGCATGAAATATTGCTACATACAATGATTCTTTAATTTCACCTAGTTTCTCATACAGGTTATAACCCTCAGATACAGCTGATAATTCATCTTGTTTTATTCGAACAACTTCCACGTCCCGCACTGACCCTAAAAATACTTTTTTTTTATCGTAGATCGTGAGCTACACCGCAATTCTCTGCCACTAGAAATAGTAGTTTTCTTCCACTAGAATCCCTTCCTTCATCTTGATCTTGAACGATACCGCAGTTTTCTTCCCCTAGAAATACTTCTTATATTGTTGATCGTGAACGATATCGTATTTTCTTCCCCTAGAATCACTTCATTGTTGATCGTCAACGACACCACAGTTTTCTTCCACTAGAAATACTTCCTTCATTGTTGATCATGAACGACACCGCAGTTTTCTTTCCCTAGAATTACTTCTTTCATTGTTGATCGTGAACGATACACTTCATTGTTGATCGTGAACGATACCGTAGTTTTCTTACCATAGAATCACTTCATTGCTGATCGTGAACGATACCGTAGTTTTCTTCCCCTAGAATCACTTCACTGTTGATCGTGAACGGCACCACAGTTTTCTTCCACTAGAATCACTTCATTGTTGATCGTGAACGACACTGCAGTTATATTAATATCAAACTTCTGACGGCGAGATCACTCTTAAAGTACACTTCTAAACGTAAGTTCTTCTAAACGCATCGGGCCCCCACTATAAGTGTACTTCGGCTTCCAAGACCACTTTTGGCAGACCAAAGGCATAAATGTCAATACCAGCTGCACTTAAGGACTCGACAGACATGTGGTCGAATGAGTTTGTAACGATTCCTTATTTTTGGCCATTCATTTCTTGATGTTGTTGTTCGCTTATGACCCTTGACTTATGAGCTTTCGTCAACTTCAAGACATTATTTATGTCCAGTTTTATTGCCTTCTGGGTTGTAAGCTTTTATTTCATAACCATAGTCTTCATTATGTGGATGCGGTTGATGCTCCGCGTTAACATGGAGTTTAGAGCCGTCACTGTCCCATATTTTCTGCTTTTAGATCCGTCACTGTCCCATATTCCATGCGTTTAGAGCCGTCACTGTCCCGTATTCTTTGCTATTAGCCCGTCACTGTCCCTATTCTCTGCTTTTAGAGCCGTCACTGTTCCGTATTCTCCGCTTTTAGAGCCGTCACTGTCCCGTATTCCATGCTTTTAGAGTCGTCACTGTCCCGTATTCCATGCTTAGAGCCGTCACTGTCCTGTATACTCTGCTTTTAGAGCCGTTACTCTCCCATATTCATGATTTTAGAGCCGTCACTGTTCCATATTCATGCTTTTAGAGCCGTCACTGTCCCGTATACTCTACTATTAGAGCCGTCACTGTCCCTATTCTCTGCTTTAGAGCCGTCACTGTCCCATATTCATGCTTTTAGAGCCGTCCCTGTCCCTATTCTCTGCTATTAGAGCCGTCACTGTCCCTATTCTCTGCTTTAGAGCCGTCACTGTCCCATATTCCATGCTTTCAAGTTATTCTGCTACCTTAAAGAAAATTGAATGCTTTCTTCTAAGAAATGTAGTTTATGTTAGCTCTATGTCGTTTAGCAAAGTCGCTATAAAAATATTTTTTTTGATGAAAGAGCATTATCCTCCGGGTACATGCCTACCCCTGGCGTCATTGGAAGCCGGACGGCCAGAAGTTCGTCTCAACTAACTATATTTACAGCGATACACCGTTGTATCACCAATTCCCCTCTTATAAACTGCATCTTACTCTTTCTAAAAACCTTATGTTAATGTAATTTTCGAATCGCCGTTGTTTTGTTTCTTCCTATTTAAGTCAATGCATAATGAAAACATTGGGAAAAAAGCTCTTTGCGTAACAAGAAAACAATAAATTCGGAAGAGCCACTATTTAGAAGCTATATTAGAGACATTAAACGAAAACAAGCGCCACAGAAAATGTTTCTTTCTGTGCCGAATGAATCATCACACTCCTGTGATGAGTTACGTTAACAGTAATATTACAGATTGCTATATGTAATGTCTCGCTTTGAATGCTATTATTGTCGTTTTTTATCATCATGAAACACATCAAACTGTTTCTGAAGCAGTAGCCGTCTGTTAGAGGAGACATTTCGTATAAAGTAGTAAAAATAGTTTTTTTTTCAAACTTATGGACATTGTTTTTAATCATCGAATAAAATACAAAGTTAGAGGGGAATACCACGTTTTACTGAAGTATGTGATCTTCCTCTGAGACCTAACAACAGAAATGCTTTAAAAATTATTTCACAGGAGAATCAAGATTTGAAATACGTCCAAGACTTATCGAAATGAATCTTCTATTAGACATTTGAAAATAATATAGAATTCTCAATAAACAATATATAACACGCATTAAGATAACAAATAGAAATATAGTTAAATATGTTCACTGGTATTTTTAACGATGGACACCGGATTATATGTCAAGTATAATAACACCAATACATAACTTGAAACTTCTTAAAAACTCATACGGTAATATGCGACACAATATGGGGAAATGAAAGGTTGTTTAGACTTCATAAAAACGCCTGAAATAGTAAATTTATAATCACAAATATGTTAGATTCAAATATCTTCCTATTATTAGTTTGTAAAAGTTTTTATTGTTTTAATAGTAAATATATTAATGATATAATGATGACGTATCTTCTCTAGACGTTGAAATATTAAAGATTGATTAATCAACTTAGATACTCTGTAATGGATTTTCAAATTCTGCCTAGGAATATGTAAGGAAATTTACAAAATGGACAATACTTTCGAGATATAATAAAATGGCTAAAGCATAAGTGTATGCTTACGAGTCATTAACTGCAAAATTCACAAACATAACTTTCAAAACTATTTTGTTTCATGAGACCCTCAATAAAAAAGTAAGTATAAAACCCACAGTTGAGGTCAAGGAAGACGGCGGCAATAATTGAGGACGTGAGATTCGAGTTCCACACTTGACACAGCAGTTCAGCGTTGAGATCAGTCCTAGCAAGACGTTGTATCACAAGTTCATTCATAACCTCTTCAATATCTTCCTTTTCGTGTTCTTTGTCAAGCAGCTGTATCCCTCTCCACCAAGTCACAGACGGAGGGGGCCTTCCTTTAATTATTAAGAAAGACGGTTTTTTTTTTAAGAACAAGTATGGAATTAACAATTTATTAATGATAAACTCTACTTCAAACTACGTAGTAGTACTAAAATTGTCAATTATTTAAGTAGTTTGTGTAAAAAAAGATTTCGGTGAATAATAATTTTTGACTCGTAGGATAATTTGAAAATACCTATAAGCTTTGTTTGTAATATCTAATTAAATATATCTTTAAAAAAGCACCAGTTTTAACATGATGACAATAATACAATTTAAAAATAATTTTTAAAAGCAAAGAAAAACATATGCTTGCCTAATTATCCGTTTTTTACGTATTTTGATGTGAGAACAAAAAATTAACCTCGAAATACCTTTTCTCTGATAGTGTTAGTGATTAATGCATTACAGAAATTGTTCCTTATACTCACCGTATGATCTTTACTCTTCAAGATCTTGAGTTGGTACTTAAGCTTATAAGTAATTTAACTAGGGTTAAAATCAACTCATTTACCTAGATAAAGAAGTCAAATTGATACTAAAATACCAGAACTAAACTTCAGTTAATCATCAGTTAATTTGAAAATTGTTGTTTTCTCAGCACAAAGCTACACAGCGGACATGTTCTGTGGCATGGTGGTTCCATTAGTGAATCAGCTGTACACCTTGGTCATTACATCGGCTTTAATTATTAAGAAAATTCCATTCACAAAAGCGTGAATGAATTTTACCAGAGATGTAATTCGTTACTATCTAAATTTTCACATTGTTCATATGATGTGCGACACATTCTGTTTAAAACATATTGTATGTGTTCATATGGATCGAATCTTTGGGATTTTGATCATAAGACAATCGAAAGTTTTTATTGTGCATGGCGGAAATGCATTCGTCGCATTCTCATGGTGTCATATGACACTCACTGTGATTTGTTATCTAGAATTGTGGATGATCATCCCGTAGAATTTCAAATGCACAAATGTTTTGTGAACTTTATGAACTCCTGCCGTTCGTCTGAAAACGAGCTAGTCAGATTATGCTATAGAATGGCTGTAAATGGCAGTGGATCTCCTGCTGCGAATTTCATCAGTCAAATTTGTTGTAAATACAATCTTCACCGGGAATCTTTACCGAGATTTCTTCTATGTAAAAAGCCCCAGACTGGCCTAAGAGCCAGTGCTATTAGATACTTTATCCGCTTCAGGGAGATATCAGGAGGTGAGGACAGGGAAGATATAAATATTATTATTTCCCACCTGTGCACATATTAATTATCTATATAACTACTGATGTCTGTAACTGTATTAATTGTATCTATGAATGGTACGAATATATATATATATATGCGCTCTGTCCACTGCCGTGAATCAGATTCCGGTATTTAACATTCGTAAACTTATTGCTGATCTACAGGGTGACTGATTTCATAGTTATTAGATTCACTCTCATTTTTCACATGTTGATCACCAAATTCACTCAATGCTTACTTGTTTAAGAGATTTTATATAATATCAAGACCTGTTTAAAGATTCCCCGTCCTCACTTTAATTTATTAAAAATTCTTTAAGGTAACATTGAACCACTTTAATATATTGACCACCATCAGTTTTATCTCGCGATAATTTAAGCTTTTACTAAACAATTTGATGCTGAGATAAATAAATAATTTGATGTTAATAAATCATATAACAAACCTACTTTTGGTGCTTAATACCGTAAATAAAATTTATATATAAAAATTACAGTTCACAAACGTAATCTAATTCACACCGAAACAGTTGTTGTTTAAGCAATTTCATAATATCAATAAAGTCTCGACCACTACTCTGTCAGTCGTATCCCATCCTGCATGATGAGATCTGGTATTCAGCGAAAGACCTCATCGGCACTGTATATAGCAGATATAAGGTGTATGACATATTATAACAATAATATTTACTTGCACTTGTAAGTTCTTGCAATATATATACGTTATGACAATAAGTTGACAACCTGGACGGATAACGTTAATGCGATATATATATATACAAATAGTTAATACAAACTATATGAAAATTTCATATATGGTACAAAATTTTATTATCCGTTAAGTTACATTAACTTTTGCTAAATACTTTTATTCTCATACTTATTATTGTTGTAGTTTTCTTTTATAAATTTTATTATTGAGCTTTATCGAAGAATACCACCTTTATTTTCGGCTGATTCTGAAGATTTAACTTTACCATGAGCCATGAGAATGAATAGGAATCGCACAGGAATTTGCTCAAAACTCTAATAGAACATTCAGGCAAAAACTAAATTATAAAGCTCACTTATTCTCGAAACAGCATTTAAACCCTTCCTTTTCAATAGTTAATGCCACCCAAACATTGATAATAAGTAAAACAAGTGATTTCACGATTGTTAAACAAAGTCAAAATTTATCCATTTGTTCATACTATTATTATTAATATTATTATTGTTTCACAAACCTACAACAAAATCGGCTGGGTATTTTGCACCAAAACCTAGACAGGTATACTATATGAAGCGCTGCAAGTGTCCATGATCTGTTTAAAAGTGGATTATTTTTTAATTGAAAATTGATTTATGTGGTTATAAATACATAATAGATGCGATGTTGTTCTGCTTTTGTACTCGATGCATGATTGTACTAAACGTCAGTCACAAAGCCATCTGGGTCAGTAAATAATTACTTTAAAAGACACGAAGCCTAATTTAAAGCGATGTTTTAGACGTATTTGTTTTATTTAAAAAGACTGCTTTTTACGCGCATAGGGGGAGAGGAGTCGTGTCTTACTTTAGGCATATATTATATTTACCCTTTGCTGTGCATTAAGAAATCCAACATACAAGATAATTAAAAATTGAGAATTTAAAATCTACAAATATGGATCACAAAAAAGTAGACAAACAAAATTGGATATCTACTGCTGAAAGTTTGGTCCAGCTACAAATCCCTATTACGATTCCACTATAAAATTATTCCAAGTGATATCTAATGTAGTGTGTGATCGCACAGGAATTTTGCAAAAAACTGAGAAAGTAGTTTTAAACTTAATTCGACGTCCTTAATTCTGTCGTCACTTTTCGACATAAAAAAGTCCTGTGTTTTCCTAGCGTATGCATTATTTTGAAACTGCAATTCGTGAATTTTCTAGTGCATTGATTGGAAACTGCCACGTGAAAGGTTTCCGAATTTTCTGTTGCATATCGTTATTCGAGTCGCTGTTTCGTCATTACTCGAGTTTACTGCCTCTACATGGATTTCCACGACTTCAGCAAGTTTTTAACAGTAAACGATTAACATAGTAGATTTTTCTACTCAGGCGAAAGTGATGATTTTTTATACTGTTTCTTATACATATCTTAAATCGTGAGTGCGTATTCAGTATGTATTACCACTTTATATAGAACTATTTCATATAGCTATTGCTATTTTTAAATAGTTAGTGTTAGGGTAGCGGTTGTAAATATTGTCGATAATAGGCGACTTACGCTAAATGTTTTGTTGTTGTCTGTTTTGCATGCATTGTTTTTTCACCTTATTCTAGCAAACACGTGTACAAAGCAGGCTGTGAAAAACGTATATATGTGTGTCATGTAGAAGTAACAAGGTAAGCATGTTACTGCGTCTGTTTACATTGCATTAATCTTTGTTGTGTTATCTTAATAGAAACATTATTCCGTTCTGATGATATTACTTTGTTGCTGTTCATCTTTTGTTACATTACACTATGACATTGATGGAAGTCGGCCATTAAATCTGTGATGAATCAATCTTTGCCTTCAAGATGGTCCACTGAGAACAACTTTACATTTTGTTTATTGTAGCTGTTTACCAGTAGATGTGTTTATTCTTTGTTGTACATTTGTTATTTATTTTGAATAAGATCAGTGTGGTGGTTGGGTGGAAAAAAAAGCCAATGCAGCAGTAAACTATTTAAAAAAACCAGCAACGTTCAACTGAACGCATATGCAGATATGTAGCTTAAATGTTATTCTCCATAAATGGACATAAAAAATTAAAAAGCAAGATTAGTAAAAACTGTTAATTTAAAAAGGGGGAATAGGGATTGCCAAAAAAAATACAGAAAAAAGTTGAATCTAAATGCAAAGATTATAGTTTCAAGCCTACAACTAGGGACCTTAAAAAACGTAAACAAATTAGGTTGGAAATAGTGTCTAAATTATTTTCTCAAGCTACAAATATCTGTTTTAACTGCA